CATATAATTCAAAGTCAAAATCTTTCACCTTCTTGACATATATAAGAATTAATACTAATCATATGAGGAAGTAGTTGATCCMATTAACAGAGTGGTCATTACACATGTAGTGTAGAGCTAAGTATATACATATAATAACTAAGAGGAAAGATTTGCTGTTACTCCAGGTTTCATGCTTACACACTCTGATCAGAATATATAAGAATTAATGCTATAATTAGACATCATTTTGTACTAGGAATCTCATCATAAACTGTACCTGCTCATGTTCCAACAAAGGAAGAGCATCTGTTAATAGAATTAACCATAAACTGAAAAGCAACAAAAATAACAACACATCTTACAGCAATTCTAATACATAGTCTGACACAACTTACACTGTACTCTACAATGACTTCATTTCACGACTTTTTTACCTTTTTGGTGCAAGTTTTGAGGTTAAAAGTGAAATCAAAAGAGCAGAAGCCTCTTCAAAACGAGTTTCTTCATACATCTTRTGAAATTCATGGTATTTACCTGAAGAAATATAAAAATGCTTACTATATACCATCACTATCTCTCAAATATGAATATCAATCATTGCACAATTAAGGAACATAGTTCTGAAAACTAGAATTTTTTTAACAAACTTACATAGAAATGTCAATCGATCACTAAGYAACATGGCAGATCCAAGGTTGTCTATCAGATCTTGGTTTGTAAAGTTGCCTGATTTGATATATCCTTCTAGAAATCTAGAAACAAAGCACTTTAATGGCTTCTATTCTAGCACTTGAAGGGTTTCAATAATTGTCACACAAGAATGCAGACTTACTGACCTGTCAGCTATGAATGCAGCAAATGAAGAATCCTATAGAAATATAATCAAATAAATAATAATTATCCTGCAAACAGAGCCCCCTTATACAAAGACAGCGGGAAAATTCCTCTGCTCGCAGGGTACATCATTATCCAAGGAATACAAAAAAACACGACTTACTTTTGATCTGAGACACCATGTCAAGGCAGAACCAAGGCATCCCTTTTTCAGTGCTTTCATGCCAAGTGTTTTACAAATGCTTTGAGCTATAAAAACAAAAATTTTGTATATATAAATTATTATTGATATGATTTAAGGTAGATTGCACGACGGTGATGTGTTAACTACCAAGAACAAGAYGTGTTTTTACAAATACAGTAACTCTTATATGTCTTGCTTAATATGTATTTCTTTTATTCATTTCTTGTTCATCTATCTTCTAATCCATTTATCCATCCATCCCCCCATTCACTTCTGCATGCATCCATCCAATTATTCCCACATGCATGCATTCATYCATTCATCGTCTTCCAATACCTTGTGATGTCAAGCCTAATTCTTCACAAAGTCTCAAMACTTTTAGTGCCTTTTTCTCAGTTTCCAGAGGAAGATGTTCAACATATTCTACAAGATGTGCCCTAACAAGATACAAAACAAGATCAATGTCCATGCCTCTTAGTCTGTCAAATGGTCTCTATCTTACCTGCCATATTCAGGACAGTGTTGTAAATAATCTACTGCAATTTGCCATAGACTGAAAAGCAGGACAAATTATTATCATTGAATAACTGACATAATGTTATCAAAAAAACTCAGATGTTTTAGTATTGGGGTTCCTGTGTTGMATAAAGGAACAGGGAGCCCAAAGCTTCAAGAMTGCAAAGAMRACAGCAGTAGYAATRTGAATTGATGATATCTGTACCAACCTGTGGTGTGACATCAAACTTGCTGAGTACTCAAGAAGRAGAAACTCTCGCAAACTTATTGGTGAACTAAAKTATAAAAATAAGAAAACATGAAATATYGTGAGCAATTAAAATGTTCTTGACTGAATTTCCACWTTTGACAATGCTTTTTTGTCATTACATGAAAACAATTTAAATTCATTTAATAATTTTTTTCTATTTGCTTAAATAAAACAGATTGTTCTGCTTTTCTGTCAATCCCTTTCAAGCTATTTTTTTCAATTTTCTGAGTCAAAGGGAAATACCTGATTTGATGAGAGTCAAGTTGACCTGCATGGTGTAACAAGTCAGTCAGATGAGCTACAAACCACCAGTTTCCTAGACAATCACTAYAAATCAAACACTGTTAGCTATTTATTRACTCCACCTCAATAACAATACATATCAAAATAAACCAAGACTGATCTTTGTACCTGCTTTCTTTGATGACAGCACAAACATCAAATTCAAATGCAGACAGCAAAATTCTGTCTAATCCTCCAAGTTGAGAATCACCTCCAAACATTTCTATGCAGCTCTGAAAAAATATCAGTCAAACAAAAAATAATAATTTCTTCACCCCAACCTGGGTCTTAGGATTAAAGAATTTAAAAGTTTTCCATCTTATAAACTGTTTATCACTTTATGACAACAGTTTCAAATAATAAAGAAACTTCTCTTAAACAAGAGTTCATGATTAAGAATGTATCACCTGTGTATGGTACTGTAAATCATATACTTTGACTGCAGGGTTACAGTACAATAATTTTGCTGTTAACATTTGGTACCAAGTAGGACAGGAATCTCTGGAATATCAATCATCAGTCAGAAAATCAATAATAAATCAATTATTCATTGATCAATTTACCTACTTCAATGATACACATATTAATAAATAATATTTGAATATTTTTTTTGTAATTAATAGCACTAAATCAATGAATATCAAAGATGATTTTTCCAATCAAATGCTTTAAACTTTATTTTAGAGCAGTGATCCTAGTCTAATTAAGGAAATAATCTAACTATCAAACAATTAGTCAACCAATGAATCAATCTACTGCAGTACTGAGGAAATAACCCACAACACCTGAATCTCAAATCTAGACATGCATCCTAATACAACATGCATTCTAATACAACATACATCCTAATACAACATGCATCCTAATACAACATGCATCCTAATACAACATGCATCCTAATACAACATGCGCCCCACAAAATACACTCTCATTATATGAATAAATGTCAAAATACTTACTGTAAGCATTCAAAGATATCCTCTTGACCAGCAAGAACCTATCAGGTAAATAAAACTATGAAATAGCAACAAACAGACTATCACAGCTTTACAAGTCTTTCAGATACATTAAAGAACAATTGATGTATTAGAAATCCTGCCTCTACTTATACAAAACACTACTAACCTGGCAAATAGTTTGAAGGTGAGGGTATCCTGCATATGTCTCACTCATAAGTTGAGATTTACACTCCTGCTGCCAATGATTCCATTTCATTATAAATTCTGATGAWGTTTGACCCATGTACGTCTGCATAAAAGAACATTAAGTATGAAATAATACAATCTTGAAAAGCAATAGAAATGGAATTATTTTGTACCTGATAGACTGGCATCTTTCTCATTAATTCATCCATGCTTTCAAAAACCTTACAAAACAAAGAAACATCAAGTCAAGTAACATCAAAATATTAACTCAATAATGCAAAAAACTGAATAAATGAAATGAATGACTGTGCAGAACTTGGTGAAGTGAACCTTACATCATAAGTTCCTGCCTGTCTATCAGGGTGCTGTGCCAACAGCTCTCTGGCATCATTTAATTGTCCACACAAGACAAGGCAATAGATCTAAAGATATACAGAGGACAAGATTACTAGGAATGCAATGTTATGAGTGCCTTGTTACATGAAACAATTTGTCTGACAATATTTACTTCAGCAATAAACTAGTTACAAGTCTAATGATAACTGATAAAATACRGCATGTTTTACTTACAGCTGGCCAGTAAGCAKGGCTTTCATATGGTACAGCACACTGCAATACCTGGTCAACAAACCTATCAGTCTGTTCTGTTCTGGCCCATTCTAAAAGTCTAGGAAGAGCAGCTCCTCCTGAAAACAACACCATTACTAGTAAGAAAACATTATGATCATAATTAGTATCTTTATCATCTTGTTTGTTTTACCTGGTAGAGTTTCGATAAAAAGTATTTCACAAAGATGCCAAACAAGCTCAACATAAGTAAGAATTTGTCTCTAAAAACAACACACACAAGTTAGTGATAATATTAGAGACTGGACATCACTGGAAATCATAAATAAATTAAAAAAAACAAGAATCCTAAAAGAAATGTTAACAACACTTATGTTGAAAACATTGAGACAAAGAGTAGTAATATCAAACAAAAGTGAAACAAAACAGCAATAATATGAAAAATACAATTATTATGAAAATGTTAATGCAAAGTTATCATACCTGGGTATTGGTATTCTGATTTCCATCCATGACCATGGATTCTAAATTCATTGTTAAATGTATTGTTAATTCATACAAAAAGCAATAGATCAGCTTAYATACTCACCATTATTACTTGATTGGTCTTTTAATTGCAATAAACATGCCCTGAGTACAGCTCTGTACCTTCTGCTTATTGTCAACAAGCTACAACAATAAACAATAAACACTATTAAAAAACACATCATGCATTACATGTAAAGAAAATACAAACTATTTCATTTCACAAAAACGTTTTTTAGAAGAATATATCATTAAAATGAATTACATCAAAAGTACCTGGTCTTTTTAGTAGTATTTCCTAATTCAGGTAATTGTTGGAGGTCTAGAAATATTCCTAAAATAAAAGGACTTAGTTAGGACATGAGTAATCAAAATGTTATTTTTACTTTATATCTGTAATTATGGCATTAGGTTTGTAGTCTATCTTGATTATACCAGCAATCACTATAAACATACCATGMGTTTCATTGATAAGCTTTCGCATCATTGTGCTATATACATCAGCATGCCATCTAAGTTCATGTAGCACTGGGAACCTATAGTGATCTATTGACTGAGCTGAAAGACATAGAATAATCATTCCTAAACAATAGCACATAAACCTTAATTACTCATCATTGTCATCATCAATCATCACCATCATATACAGACTACATTGTAGTGTCATATCAACCAATCCATTACACGGAAAGTTATATTAATCATTGCTTGTTCACCTCCTTGCCCCACAACATACCAGACTTACCTAAAGATGGCTTGCCTTCAGAAGCATAGGCAGTTATCCCTCCGAACGATGACCAACTACCAGCAATCTTTCCCTCCGCCTGACATTCAGGTATCAGCTGAACAGGATGAATTATTTGAATCACTCAGAAAATCCATACTAACTCATACWTGTATAAAATGTCACATTTCACTATCCAGCAGTTCGGATGTCATCTACATTAAAATCAATTTTCTATAGTTTTTCTATTTAAATCGAAGTCAAAATTTATACTATATGAATTATTTAGCGCCATTTTTATCTCAATATCAAGCAAACGATATAAACTTTTGAATATATCAAGAAATTATAGTGAATTTTCTTACTATTACTGGAGGTCCACCGTCCATGCTTGTTTTCAGATCTACCGCCGTACTRCGCGCCAAATGAACACTGGGAAAAACACAGGGAACCCAACTGGTTGTGTCTACTCACGAAATATCATTTTGGTGAAAAGTTTGACAACAATGACTGTATACTGCAGTTAAATAGTCCGCCAAAATTCCAGACAAAACATATTTAGTAGACAATTTACTACGGCAGAATCACTCATAATGCTGGTACCCACTTTGAATTCTTTATTTATTGAATCTTTATTACAAGCTAAGGAATAAAAAATCTCTGCTCTATAATAACTTTTAACAAAATATATTTGAAATTTAAAAATAATGAAATAATAATAATAATGAAATTTAAAAGTAATGAAATAATAATGCAATTTTTCAAACAATTACAACATTTGATAATTTAAAAATATATCTTATCTTAATCAATCTTCATAAAAATATACAAATGTGATTTATATTTACATATTTTCATTAAAATTTCAGAAGTAGAGTCAGCCATCTTTATGGTTCTATTACCATCTATTTACCAATTAATAAGGTATTAGTTTCTGTTTCTTCATAAAATAAATTAATATTAATTATAAATTATTATTTGATATATCATCTACCATGATCAAGCATCTCATTGGGATTCCTGTGTTATCTACTGAATCTTCAGAACACTGACTGACACAGGGAGCCCAGGATGATAATCACTAGAATGCCATGGTAACTTTCCTTTGTACAACTACTTCCCCACGGAGAGGTGGAGGAGCAAAATGGTTTTGCTGGTTACTATTAACAACATCCTGTTGTGCCTGACTGGTTGGCTGGGAGTTTGTGGGAGGTGCCGTGGGATGAGTGGTTGGCTGGGGGGCTGGTGTTGCACGGTTTCTCTCTTCTTGACATGAATGAAATTGGAAATCCACACATCCTGTAACTGCCTCATACTGAAATAATTAAAGAAATTGGTAAAAGAAATTCTTGATTTATGTCTCTACTTCATCAGTATTTACTTACAGGCGGTGGTGAGTTACTGGGTACTAGTATTTACTTACAGGCGGCGGTGAGTTACTGGGTACTAGTATTTACTTACAGGCGGCAGTGAGTTACTGGGTACTAGTATTTACTTACAGGCGGCGGTGAGTTACTGGGTACTAGTATTTACTTACAGGCGGCNTTTGATATATCATCTACCATGATCAAGCATCTCATTGGGATTCCTGTGTTATCTACTGAATCTTCAGAACACTGACTGACACAGGGAGCCCAGGATGATAATCACTAGAATGCCATGGTAACTTTCCTTTGTACAACTACTTCCCCACGGAGAGGTGGAGGAGCAAAATGGTTTTGCTGGTTACTATTAACAACATCCTGTTGTGCCTGACTGGTTGGCTGGGAGTTTGTGGGAGGTGCCGTGGGATGAGTGGTTGGCTGGGGGGCTGGTGTTGCACGGTTTCTCTCTTCTTGACATGAATGAAATTGGAAATCCACACATCCTGTAACTGCCTCATACTGAAATAATTAAAGAAATTGGTAAAAGAAATTCTTGATTTATGTCTCTACTTCATCAGTATTTACTTACAGGCAGTGGTGAGTTACTGGGTACTAGTATTTACTTACAGGCGGCGGTGAGTTACTGGGTACTAGTATTTACTTACAGGTGGCGGTGAGTTACTGGGTACTAGGGGCATACTCTCATCGTCACTGGTTACTGAATGGTACTCTGTTTCTTCTGATTGAGCGCTATAACAAAAAGATACTTTAATAAACTGATATGAGCAACTTGACGTGAGGTCCTGTTTCTATTAGGAGGAAAGCATTTGCCTAGACCCAAGGCCTGCTTGAAAATCAGGTCAAGTTTCGACTTGATTCAATGCCATAACATGCTACACTTTAAAAGGGGACACTTTCTTTTTTCTTTGCAAGTGTGGTAGCTATTTTATTTTACCATTTACAATGTCAGCATTTATATCATATTATTATTATATATCAAATTTTACCCATTAAGCAAAGAATTCATGAAAGTACTTGGTTTACTCTTCTTGTTGATCCTTTAGAAATTAAACAAATGTTAAATTGATAGTATAAATGACTGGTTTTTCATTGCTAAGTTGACCACTGATAACCTGATTTTCAAAAATAAACATAGCAAGAATGGTATTAATTGTATCATCACCTTCTGCACATTAGAGTAATCAGTAGAAGTATTATCACCAAGAACACAACAGATACTAGTGATGCCACCAGCAATAATGTAAGACCATCCCTGTCAAATCAAACATACTACATTATCTCATTGCCTAGTGATGCAACCAGCAACAATGTAAGACCATCCCTGTCAAATCAAACATACTACATTATCTCATTGCCATTTATTCATTCATTTTATTTCTACTTACACAACTGGGAAGCATACAGCACAATGAGCTTTGTTATATTCCTGCAACAGAAAGTATTTTAGCCAAGAAATACAAATGTTATAATGATGATACATTTTATTTACCTTTTTCATTTTAGTACATTTCATGTTTTCTTGTATTTTATCTAGGGATGTGTCAATATTGTGTAGATTTATTGTTAGTTTGTTGATGCCTTGATGTTTATGTGCCCAACTCTGTTAAAATCACAAAAGAAATTCAATAAACACAAGAAAACGTTTTGCTTGAAAAATATTTCATAAGAACCTCTGCAAGAAAAAAACCTGCCTGGTTTTTAAGTTTCTGTAGAAAAACATCTGCTGTTTGAATAAACTCCAAGGATGAATCCACATACTGTAAAAAAACATCAACAATTATTACTACCATTGCATTGCTACATGACCAGTACAGATAAAACTTCACAGCTGTGATTAGCAATTGACAGCTGTCAATCAAAAGTGCTTTGGTGCCAACCAATTCAATGATTACACATGAATTTTTGTCTGGGATAGTAATATATCAATGCAAATGACAAATCCATACACTAGTAATTTATAGTGCAACACATAGCATGACTGTATCTTGATGCAAAGTATGGATACCTTTTCAAATGGATGAATGCTGCCAGGTTTGCAATCAAGGTAATAGTTGACTACATCTGAAAGAAAAGTATTGTAGGCATTTTTTACTGACACAGTGAATAAAATTCCTTATTAGGATTTATACAAGGGTCATACAATGGTATGCTTATTTCTTGCCATGAAATATTTTTCGAACCTTTTGTCACCACAGATTTCATGTAGAAATTTATTGTTTTTCTTGGACTGACACAAAGATCTGACATCCCCTAACAAACAAAAACCAAACAAACTTCAGGTAAGTTCTTGAAAAGTTTTCAAATAAAATATATTTAAAGAGAGCATACAATAGAGGCACCAAAATGAGCTCCAATAACCAGCCAGCCACCAAGCCAAGCAATGCAGCCCAACAACAAAGCACTATAAAAAATAATACATCACATTAGCACTTTTAGAATTAAGACAGGAATTTGTATATATGTTGGGTTTTCTTGCAATGACAACATTTCAAGTACTTACAGGAAAAAGCCACATCTACTGTGTCTGATAGACGAATACACTGTGATTAGACAGGTAATAACTGTCAAACCAAGAACACCAAACACAGACCACCACCTACATCAGTAATGATCAAAATTTTTAAAAATAAATAAAACTTGTATTTAATACAAAATCCTTATTTTACAATAATTGTCATAAAAAGTWAACTTCTAGACATCTTTCTACATGCAAAAGCTACCATGATTACAAGAAATACTACTTTCGTTTTGTACACAGCCTGCCTAGCAGCCTTCAAGGAAATGTGTCAGCAGACCCCAATCCCAGAGTCACTGCTCATAGACCTTACAAAACCATTCAGCAATCAAAAGGTTAAAATGGAAGGAATACTTCTATCACCTGTAAAATTCTCCAGTCTTGATGTCATCTGATACTCCAGTAACAGGATTAACAGGTTTGACTCCATTTAACTCTTCAATAATCTGTAATATGTTTGACCGAATCATCCRAAGATTTTTCGCAATGACAAGAGGAACGCCATGTAACATACTATCGATGTTTTCTTTCATCTCCAGTATATTATTCTGAATACTTGATACCTATCGTATTAATAAAAAATATTAATATAGGGCTTATACGCACTCTGGGAATGACTCAGAGCTACCTGGTTGTGAATGCCATCAAATGTGTTGCTGACATTATCCACTKCCATGGTAACAGTGATAACTCCATTATTAATGCCGTCATTGAACACAAACCCTGAGATAATGCTTCCACTGTTGATAAACCAAATCTGCTGTGAGTGATTGGTATAAGCTTATATCACCAGAACGTCTCATGAGTTCAAGATGATTTATTTTATGATATACTTACATGGATAAAAGTGCAAAGAGCCAAATACATACAGTAAGGCAAAGAGTATATTKTGTTTTGGCTTTTCGTCTTGGTAATTGTTTTCGACATCTTTTACAGCACCATTTACAGCAATAGACAGTAAAATAGATACCAAGAATGATAAAAAATATCACTCCAAWTACAGCCGGAATAGCGCTGTATAATATCAAATTCTGCAAAAAAAGAATAAAATTTGGAAATTGAAAGCAATTTAAGCTTATTTCAGTTCGAGACAAAACAAGAATTCCCAATAGGTGTCAAAAACCAGCGGAAATGTCATGCACTGAAATTTTGCAAGATCCAATATCGACTTTGGCACAAACCTGCTGATAGTCTTCATCTGTAGGCCTAAAAGTTTTCGATATGTTATCAAAATCAAAGTTAACATGTGGAAGTGAGTTRAAAAACTTGGCGTTTTCTGGAGGAATGGATCCCCTAGAGCAGTCCGCCATATTGAAAACCAACAACTCGCCCCAGGCTACTCTGAAGACAACCGAGTAATAAAAAGAAAAAAAAAGAGATACGAATAAACGATTTCTTTTTTTAGAGTCAAAGTAAAGCGCAGACATTCCTAATTCTGTATTCTGACACTCTGCCGCACAAAAACGTCTATATTGTGCAGTTTGGTACAACTACACACACAATTGTAGGAATGGTGGGACCAGCTATGTTTATTGGAGACATTGGAGACATTGCCATTTCCTGCGCAAAAATAATATGCGGCGGAAACTGGAAGCGTCAAGTGGTGATCAACCTATTGTGATGTTCAGACCCTAGCAGGCTGTCGGGAGGTGCCTTGCTGTCAATTCCCAATATAGAAACCATTTTAAAACTCATTAATATTTCATAAAAAAGTAAAAATGTGGATTCTTCAATTCACTTGTACAAAAACAAAACAACCACAACTACACTAGTTTGCAGGCGAAGTGTGGTATTTAATGAGACTTTTTAGTGTTCTTCATCAACTTACTCTTGCGTTTCTTTTCGTCATTCAAATAGCCCAAGGCAGGTTCTGCATCGTGTCCAACTTTGGGATTCAATAGGTCTTGGATACTGGGTGGTTCAAGCAATAATAATCATGTTTATAGAAACTGTTTGATCAGACAATGAAGTCTATTAAGTCAACTGGAAATTTCTCGAAATAAATTTGCTAAAAGTTAATAGATTGTTCAAACTCATCAATATTTKATAAAAAGGTCATCATTAGTTGATTTAAGGTGCAGTGTCGCTAAGAAGAGACGCTTTTGTGTAACGGTCTCGTCATGACTAAACCTACTCTGAGAACAGTTTGTGTCTTTCTCTTCGTCCTTCAAATAGTCAAAGGTAACTGCAACAACGCAATGATTAAATATCATGTGTTACATTACTATTACCAGTCAGAAATACATAATCTACTTTTATTGGAGGAAAAACTGGAAAGTATGACTTGGTTTGCGCGGATAAAAACTCCAGTGCTCGCTATGAGTACTGTCATATAACAGTTCGATTTTGTGAAACAACTCCAAAAGAAAACAAACGATTCATTTGTAATGGAAACACTGCCAGGAAAATTTTATCCACGGAGTCCGGGGCCACGGAGATGGAATGGCCGTTGATAGGAGATAGGTGTGCCTATAGTTACTAGGCCTGATGCTACAATCAGTACCATACTAATTGTAGTAATAGGACTCTAATTCATGATTAACTGGGTATTTGATAAAGAAACATTTTTTGAGCAACCAAACACACACAAAAAGAGAAATTCGTCGGTTGCAGATGGCTTAAAAACAAAATTACATTTAACTATTCAGTGCAGTGTTAGAAAATAAAGCGCTTGTAACGGAGAAACCTGCAGTGCATGGGGTGCCAATATAGTAAAGTATCGATACAGTATTTTAAAGGCTTGCCCCGGGCCGGCGCGTAAATGGGTTTCAAGGTGTGCAACTGACTTACAAACTTCGTATTTTGTGCAATATTTAGGAAAAGATGGTTGCAAAGAACTACTTTATCTGGACTGCCAGAAAAACAAAACTTTTACTGGTCATGTAACCAAGAGCTTCAGAATCTTTGGAGGCCCAGGATCCCTTGCTGAATGCCAGAATAAATGTTTCAAAGGGAAGGAATGTATATCGTACAACTTGGGTCCGATCGACGGAAAGATCAGAACTTGTGAGTTAAATAACCTGGATCACGTGACACACCCCCATGACGTCATAGCTCGACAGGGGTCGGAATACTGTCCAGTAAAGGTGAAAATAAATTTACATTATCTGTAACTTAGTAATATTTGCCGGCTATCGCATGGTAACACACGTGATAAAGAAATGAAACTTTGTTTACATTTCAGAATCGATGCTCATCCAACCCTTGTTATGGCAAAATATGTGTACCAGACTTCCACTGGGATGCGTTTAAATGCTGGGGTAAGATCCCGGGGGGAGGGGGGGGGTACTCCCTACCCAACTTGGGTGGGGGTGTGCCGCATAACCCTCAAAACTCTTTTTGAATTTACATACCCTACCCCAGACTAAAGGTACAAAGGTACATTATTTTAGCGCTCAAAGCGTGGCCTAGCAGATACGATCACATGCAAAACTCCACCCTACACCAGACAATGATACTATACCCTATCCTAGACAAAAACTGCCCTATCACAGACAAAAAGACTACCCTATCCCAGACAAAAAGACTACCCTATCCCAGACAAAAAGACTACCCTATCCCAGACAAATGGGCAAAAGATTATACCCTATCCCAGACTTGGAGCTCCGAAAAAGGGACCCTATCCAGCGGCACATACCCGTATAGCAAATATAGGGGAGTACCCCCCCCCCCCCCCCCCCCCCCCTAAATTTCGCATATTACATGAGCTTATGTTCCACTGGCTACCTGCCTTACACTGTCACAAGCAACTTATTGGTTGAGTGTAATGATGCATGGTTAGCTGATCCGGCAAAATATGTTTTATCATTCGCAGATGGACTATGGACTCAGTGGAATGAATGGTCTGTTTGTCGCTGTTCCCAACACAAGCGTTCGCGTAATTGTCTTAATCCGTTCACAAGCAMGACGGCATCAGATTGTCCTGGAACAAATCTKGAAATAAAAGAGATGGCGCCTGGTATTAACCATCTRTCTGTCTGTCAATGTTCACTGTCAGTGTCTGTCACGATTACAACAGTCTTAATTAGTCCTTGCCTTTAAATTAACCACTGAATGTATTTATTACTCCTTTTCGTTTCAGCTCCATTTATTCCAAAAAACTGTGCCGAGTTAGTTTTGAAATGTGGTGATAATAGCAGGTGTGTTTGTACGATCAATCCTGATGGCAAAGATGCCTTGAAAGTAAGCATATAATGCCAAAACTTGCAATACCATTATGAATCAAATTGAAAYWTTCAAAACATGCTTGCCAGGTKTTCTGTGACCAGGAAACTAATGGTGGTGGCTGGATAGTCATCCAAAGAAGACAAGATGGCTCACAAAACTTTTACCTGGGATGGCAAGACTATAAGRTTGGCTTTGGTGACCTAAATGGAGAATTCTGGTTAGGACTTGAGGAGATCTACCGGATAACTAGCCATGGACGCTATCGTCTTCGTGTTGAGCTGGAAGACAGTGCTTATGCCGAGTATGATTATTTTGCTGTCAGTGACGAAGCCAATAATTATACTTTGAGACTTGGCGCATATTCAGGTAAACTTAGTCAATGTCCGTTTTTGAAATAGATAAATGGCAATATTTCAGGCACTCTTCTACCGAATATTTATTACTATATAATTTTTGTCAGGAAATGCTGGCGATTCACTTCACTATCACCGTGATAAGCCTTTCACGACCAAGGATCGCGATCATGATTCAAATATCAAATATAATTGTGCTATATTGTTCCAAGGGGCATGGTGGTACAACAGGTGTCATGCCTCTAACTTGAATGGTGCTTATTTAAACGGGAAAACAAACGTCTACGCCAAAGGTATCAATTGGAATCATTGGAAGGGATATCATTACTCAGCAAAAAAAGTTGAAATGAAGCTAAGACCGACCTAGGCACACCTCATCAGCATCGATCAACTAACACTATATCTAAATATCCTTGTGATACTCATGGCTTTAAGGATAATAAAGATAGATGTAGATGTAGATGTAGATGTAGATGTAGATCTACCAAGCCACATCAAGCACCTGTTGATATAGCCCGATCAAATCGACCACATCTAAAGCACGACCAGAAAGGTTAAATGTCAGTAGGCAGATAATATCAACATGAATCCCTCATTTTATCGACCACATCTATAACACGACCAAGATAGTTGGTATACTATCAATCTCAGAATAACGATACGAACAAGCATGCTAACACTAATAGCTACCACTTTCAGTAATACAACTGGGACCTAGTTTTTGAATCTTAAGACTTCCCTGGACATAACCAGTTTGACCAGAATACTTATATCGACCGTATCTATAAAACGCACACCGATAATTGTCAATAAGAATAGATTAAAAGGTATGCACTTCAAGGATTTCCATTTTGTAGTTTATATCTTATGGTATATATAAAATAAGTTGACAATGAAAATGTAGGAGTCGTTAATATGGTACAAGTATTGGTACAGCCGTCAGAAAGTTCTCACAAAGAGAAATGGTTCGTACAGGCCATTAGAGTATTATTAACAAGTGTTGTTGTCATAGTAACTTAGTTAATCAATACTTGTTACTATGAAAGCAAACTTGATTTGCTATAGCACCATATACAAACATCACGTTTCACTCTTGACCAGCGTTGTCATCATCACACGTAACTGTCTCCATAGAAACATGACTATTGATGTCACGGCGCCATAGTAACTGAGTCTATCGATAGGAATCGTCTCTGAAGGCAGATGTATTAAGTGAAGACATTGATAGTTTGTTTCTTGTGTCCAGTTCTTCTTGTAACACTTGAGCACGTGACTGTAGTACTGAGACTTGCTGTCGAAGTGATTCAATGGTGTCTTCCAGTTCCTGTAGATATGTTTGATGTCAGTAAGACTGGGGAAATAACTTAGTATACGATTTCCATTATAYTAACAACACAACAAGCTTGCTTATACCTTGCCCAGTGTACCTGGTTATCACGCATGCGATATTTTGGACTGAAACTGCCTGCGCAACTCCCATTTATTGAAAATTGTAAGTTAAAATCTGTTATCATCCACCACTATCATCAGTGTTTTTACCTATTATCAGTTAATAGAAAACAACTTTTACCTGTCTTACTGATTCAGGCAKCAGTCCTTTCATTTTTTCCTCATACTGTAAACGAAGACGGGAAATCTGAAATATGAAAAAAACGATAATTCAGTAAAGCCTCCTTTACAACGGTAATTTCTGTCAAATCGTTGGTCTTGTTTAAAAGAGCTCTCTCAGGAATTGGCTCTGAATTATGTTGTTTTTGAAAAGAAAATAGAGAATTTAGAAACACAATTGACCTGACCCCCCTTCAGTTTTGGTTCAAACCCAAAATAACGAATAGACAAAGCAACTTTGATGAAAATTGTTTGTACCTTTTCCTGTGATTCCAAGTCAATCTGCTGACATCGTTTCTCAGTGTGACGCACCATAGTTTTCTGGGCCTGCAATTCTTGTTCCAAAGACTGTAAAAAAAAACAGGAAAATATTGAAAAATATTGCACAATGATGTTCAATTATTGGACAGTTATTTCATGACTTCGTTGACTTACATTGACTATACCGTCTCGCTGTTTCTTGAGCAAAGACTTATCGTCATTATATTTATTTGTAATGTCGCTAAGCTTCTTCTCAGAACTCAGTCGTGCCCTGCAGAAAAACAAAGGAAACGCACATTACTATTTTGCCAGTGGACAAAGGAATGGCAATCAGAAATTGCTATCTTTTTCCGACTGTTTTGATCTCGGTTACCTCAAGTTTTCCTCTCGCAGTTTTTTCATTTCATCCTCTAAAGTTCGAATGGTCTTGAAAGAAAATTAAAAGGGAAAACGTAAATGAAATGAATGGGGAAATGCAGATATGTATGGATTGTCTGAATAAATGCAWGTTAAGTTAAGAAATAAGTGGGATAAATGAAAGGATGATAAAACGGGATAAACGAATGAATGAACGAGCAGTTCATTCAGAGACAAACAATTGGATGATACGGACCTCTTGTGTCTTATCAGCTCTGCTTGTGTATTCTTGCTCCATGATTCTAAGACGCTCGTTTGTCTACAAAAAGCAAATCAACTGCAATAAAACCTTAAAGTCTTGTGAATTCATGATTGACGTTGGAAATACCTTTTCAAGGAGCTGCTCCATCTCACTACTATGTGTCCTTCGAAGTTCTAGCTTTAGCTGRTCTAGATCACTCTTTGATCTTGCTTGCTGTAGAGATCAAGACAGACAAWAGTTTATTACAATTTACAAAGCAAAGTTGGAATATACACTTACAAGATTTTCTTCTTGTCTCTTGTATGCTTGCTTTTCTTCTTCTCTGAGCATGTTCAACTCCATTAGCTGTGTTTTGCGAAGAGAGTTGGTCTGCATCAACTGAAAAAYAATTTCTAAAATCAATAAAGTTTAGCATTGCAAACTATAGAATATGCAATATGCTTACCTCTTCGCGTAAATCTCGTACTTGCTGTTCTAATTCTGCTATTACCTGAAGATGATGAAAAACATATAAAAAATAAGATACGTGGATTTTTTACATTACTTTTCACTAATATTTTCCTAAGGTAGTTTACAAGAAAAAAATACCTTTGCATCTCGTGTAGCCTTCTCTTTAAACTGAGTTTCCATGTCCATCATTTTCTGATGAAGCTTTTCACTTTGCAGATCCTGCATAATAAAAAAATATATCGTCAATACTTGATGTACTTACCTAACATATCAAATGGATTTATATTACCCGTTCCTGTTCTTGCTCTCTTAACAAACCGTCACGTTCAGCCTGGTAGCTTCTCAGCAATTGTGCTTTTTCTTGTTCATGGCTGATGTTGAGCTCAGCAATCTGACAAAATAGAGTCACAGCAACTGAATGAAGTTGAAAATGATAAACGAGCCAAGTTAAGTATGAATCTCACCATTTTATCGTGTTTCATTTTCATGTCATCGAGCTGTCGACTGAATTCTTTACTTTGCTTTTCTCGCAGCTTTTTAGAGTGAGCAAGRTCCTCTTCTACCTTCTCCATCTTTTGATAGAAAAGCAGTACATTTTAGTATTAGACTTTTTTATGTTGCAAAGATACAAGTGTCATTCACCTGAGTTTTCATCTCGTCAAACATTTTTCCCGAGTTCTTTTCCACTTGTTCTTTGAAATCATTGAGAGCRCGTTCCGCTTGGTGAGATTGTTGCTTCTGCATCTGGGTTTGACGTTGGATCTGTTCATCACGTTCCCTTTAATCAATCAACCAAACACTCAATCAC